TGCCATATGACCCAGCAATCCCATTCCTGGGCATATATAAGGAGAAAACTCTAATTTGAAAAAACACATACACCCCAATGTTCTCAGGAGCACTATTTATAATAGCCAAGACCTGGGAACAACCTAAGTGTCCATCGACAGATGACTGGATAAAGATGATATGATATATATATTGTTGTTCATTATTCAGTCACTAAATTGTGTCCATTCTTTGCAACCCCATGGACTGCAGCACGCCAGGCTCCTCTGTCCTCCACTACCTCCCAGAGTTTGCTCTACTTTATGGCCATTGAGTTGGTGATGCCATCCAACCATCTCATCCTCTGTCACCCACTACCTCCTGGAATTTGTTCAAATTCATCTCCATTGAGTAAGTGATGTTATCCAACCATCTCATCCTCTGCTGCCCTCTTCTCCTCTTGCTTGCAATTGTAGCCTGGCATGCTACAATCCATGAAGTCACAAAGAGTCAGAAACAACTTAGTGACTGAACAACAAGTGGTTGTGTAACAATGTGAATATATCTAATGCCACTGATCTGCTCACTTTTAAATGGTTTAAATGGCAGATTTATGTTACGCATACTTGACCATAATTTTTTTTAAAAATTTTAAGTACACTCTTGCATTTATCAAAGAAAACTTAAAGTGAAAAGTTGAACCACATACTCTCTACTATCTTCTCAACTTTTCTGTAAGCCAAAAAGTGTTCTATAAAGGCTATTTTAAAAACTAGTCAACTCTCAGTTGGGAGAAGATATTTGCTACACACATCTTAGCAAAAGAGAGAGGAGGGGAGCTGTCAAAAATGAGTGAAAAGAGGGGTCGGAGAATAATAAATCTGTGAGAAGGCATCGGGGGGGTCTTTATTTACTTTCCTGTATCCTTAGGCTCATGACCAACTTTCTTCTAACCTTATACAAATGTTCTGCAGGCTAAACTTCTAGCCCCACTCCCAACAGCCCCCTCCTGCACTAGTTTTCTATTGCTGCAGTAACAAATTACAATTTTAGCAACTCAAAACAACACCGTTTATTGTAACAGTTCTGAAAACGCAAAGTCCAAGTCAATTTAACAGTTTTCTCTGCTTTGCTTCTGACAAGGTCAAAGGCAAGGTGTTAGGGGCTTCACTGGTGGCTCACTGATAAAAGAATCCACCTGCTGATGCAGGAGACACAGGTTTAATCCCTGATCTGGGAGGATTCCATGGGTCATCAAGCAGCTAAGCGGGGCACCACAGCTATTGAGCCTGTGCTCCAGAGCCCAAGATGTAAACTACTGAAGCCTGCACAGCCTAGAACCCATGCTCTCCAACAAGAGAAGCCACCACAGTAAGAAGCCTGTGCATGGCAAATAGAGAAAAGCCCATGCAGCAATGAAGACCCTCCACAGCCAAAAGCAAATGAACAAAAATACAAAAAGCAAGGTGTTCGCTGACAGGCCTCTTACCAGAAGGCCTGGCCGGGGGTGTAGGCTCATTCAGGTTGTTGGCAGACTCCAGTTCCTTGGGGATGTAGGACTGAGGTCCCCACATTCTTGCTGGCTGTTGGTTGGGGCCACCCTCGGTTCCTAGACAACTCTCTCTTGTCCTTTTTAAGCTCTCGGGTTTTCAATAATGGGCATTTTTAGATCATTTGTAGGCAGTTACTGTTTCACTCTGATTCTTTTACAAATATGCTTCCTCTTACAAGAGATTCATGGAAAGGATTCTGACACTTACTGTAGAATATTAGTTTCTGATAAGCTTTTGGGTCTTACCATCGAACTGGGCATAGTGATAGTTTACCATCTGGAGATGATTAATCACTCCTGCAAGATTCCTCCTCATAAGGATCCATGTCTGTTTTGAAGACTGCCTACAACTCACTTCCTAAAATGACTCCTTGTTTTTGTCTTTGCAATTCAGTTTTACTTTTTTTAACACCAAAAGCATTTTGTATTGGGGTAAAGCAGATTAACAATGTTGATGTAGTTTCAGGGGAACAGCAAAGTGACTCAACCATACATATACATGTACCCACTCTCCCCCAAGACCCCCTCCCATCCGGGCTGCCATATAACATTGAGCAGAGTTCCATGTGCTATACAACAGGCCCTTGCTGGTTATCCATTCTAAATGTTTCCATGTGTACATGACCTTCCCAAAATCCCTAACCATCCCTTCCCCCCAGCAACCATAAGTTCATTTTCTAAGTCCTGAGTCTCTGTTTTATAAGCAAGTTCATTTGTATCAATTGTTTTCAGATTCCACATATAAGGGGTGTTCGCATGATCTCCCTCTTTCTCCATCTGACTTACTTCACTCAGTATGACACTCTCTAGGTCCATCCTTGTTGCTGAAAATGGCTTTATTTCATTCTTTATAATGACCAAGTAATAGTCCTAAAATGACTGCTTGTGTTCAAATGTGGCCATAAGCTCTCCAAGGGCACCCTTCTCACACAGCACTGCTCTCTCTCCTCTGTGAGACGTGACTCTCTGGGACTGAGCCTTCCCAGCACCGAAGGGAGATGATACCAATGCCAAATACCCAAAAGATTGCTCACCAATGCTTTCTAAAGAAAGATCTTGGTCAAAAGGAAGAAATGTGAAAGGAAAAAGTCAAAGTGGAGTCATTATTGCTCAGAGAGCTCTAAAATGAAGCTGAAAGCCATTAAGGAAATGTGACTTAATGCACATTTCCTAAGGATGGAATCCGACATTTGACCTGATGAAGTCTTCCAGAACACCTGTCAGAAACTCAAGATACTTATCAGAACCTTATCCTAAAGTAACTCGTGACAGTCCATCTACTTATCAGACCCTTACCCTGAAACAGTTTATGATTCCTTAAGGATAGATATTTTCACGTCAGAGCCGATCAATTCTTGCCAGGCAATTTTTAACAACAAGCAGCAAATCCTTATAAGCCCCTGAGTCTTTCTATTCCTCAGAACACACTTTCATGGTTACCATGAACCTGTGTGTCCCAAACTGCAATTCCTAAGATACCAAATGAAGTCTTTTCTTATTTGCAGCCTCTTGTACTGTTCATTTTGGTTGACACCCTACCTGTGGCTGCTTGCATCTCAGACCCAGCCATGGCACCTCAGATCATTCTCGTGCTTTAAATTTGTCCAAAGTCTCTCAGACGACAACTTGCAAGGCTAACTAGAGCCAGCATCAGCACATCTGATTACCTCATACTTGGGATATCTCTAATTCTTCCTGCTTTCCTTTTCTACCTCATTTCTTTAAATCCAGCCCCCAAACATTCTTGGCTTTAAAGGGCAGAGATTGAGTCCACTCGGATGATACACGCCAGTCTCTTTATTTTACGATCTTTAACTTTAATTACATCCACAAGGTCCTTTTTGCCATGTAATATATTCACAGTTACCAAATGTGTTGTGTAATTCACAACATACTCTCAGGTCCCAGGGGTCAGGAATACGGACATCTTTGGGGGCCACTCTGCCTCCTATACGTCCCTAGAGGTCTTGGTTCCCAACACCACTGGTACAGGAGGAGACACTGAGGCCCAGAGAGCTGTCTTCCGGCCATTACCTAATTTGCCCAGATACTTCCAGCCAGCCAGCAAGTAGTGGAATTAGGGTCCAAACCCCAGATCTGTCTAAAGCCAACACTTAGCCCTCAACCACCACATTCTATAGTCTAAAAATAATGCCACTTATCTGCCTCATACTTAACCAAGTTTATGATGTACTTTTGCACCCATTTTCTCACTTAATCTTGTCAGTAGCCCTGATGGGCATTCTGCAGTGGGACTACCAGCTCCACTTGGTTGTCAACTGAAAGAAAAGTCCTCAATGTAACAGTTGTGAGTTCAGTTTCATTCAGGCTCTTGCTGAGGACTATAGCTCAGGAAACAGCCCCTCAGAGGGCTGAAGAACTGGTCCAGTGAGGCAACGGAGCAGGTAAGGCTATATATGGACTTCTTGCTGGGGCGGGGAATCATATTAATGAAATTTTTCCTTAGATATGTATCTTAACCATCTGGGAGTTGGGACTTCCCTGGTGGTACAGTGGTTAAGAATCTGTCTGCCAGTGCAGGGGACACAGGTCTGATCCCTGGTCCAGGAAGATGCCACCTATCTCGGAGCAAGGAAGCCGTTCTGCCACAACTACTGAGCCAATGTATCTAGAGCCCGTGCTTTGCAACAAGAGAAGTCACTACAATGAGTAGCCCCTCCTACCCGCAACTGGGGGATAGCTCCTGCTCCAGGCAACTGGAGAAAGCCAGCACGCAGCGACAAAAGACCGAGCGCAACCAAAAGCAAAATAAGCTAATTTTTTTTTAAAATCTAGTGGTTGGTATATCCAGAGCACAAAACACTTTCCACTTTTCCATCCTTAAGTCCTCTCAGGGTACACCACAGTGAGGTGAGACCGCAACCAAAGGCACTGACAGAACTGGAATGACAGGCAACATTCCTTTCCTTTACATGATTTACTGGGGCTTCCCAGGTGGCACTAGTGGTAAAGAAACCACGCGCTAATGCAGGAAACACAGGGCACATGGGTTCCATCCCTGGGTTGGGAAGGCCCCCTGGATGAGGACATGGCAACCCACACCAGTATTCTTGCCTGGAAAATCCCCTGGCTAGCAGAGCCTGGCGGCTACAGCCCGTGGCATCACAAAGTCGGACACAACTAAGTGACTAATACTTTCACATGATTTACTGGGAAACTGAGGACCAAGTCCACAGCATTTGCGCAGACAGGATTCTCCACCCCACCCCCCTCCCCCCCCACACACACACAATATTTATTGTGTCTGGGGGCCACAGGACTAGAACATGAGCTTATCCGCTTATTCCTTCCCAGTAGTTAGTTAGCACTCTCCTCACAGACTTCAGTTTGGTAAAGATTTTGTTTTAATAAACTCTCCCTGAGCACCCGCTCTATGCCAGGCTTGGGCTGAGGCACCTGACCAGCCTTTGCTTTGGAGAATTCACAGAGACGGGAAGGGAAGGCAGCCGTGGGCTTCGCAGCCCTGGCTTACAGGGCTTGGTGTAACTCGGTCTCTGCTGCGGGAACATCCCTTTGCAACTCAGAGTTAAGACCCACGTCCTCAAGACCCAACCCAAAGGAAAGGCCACGACTAGGAAGCGGAATGAGCGAGCACTGATGCCCATTCGCCCCACTCCAACCCGTAGCCGGGTAGGGGTGGCTCACGTTTCCACCCAGGGCGCGGCCGTAAAGGGGTCCCGGGGTGTCGTGAAAAGGGCTGCAAAGCCACAGAGCGCCGGTCCATGGCGGGGTCCATTTTGGGTGTGGCTCTCGCTGCTTTACGGCGAAAGGCAACGTTTTCTCAAAAAGGAAACAAAACTCAAGAACCTGTTGCCCGTCACCGTGGCGCTTCGCCGCGCTCAGCACCGCGCCCGCCGCGCCTCTCGGGCACGGCGACGGGATCCCGGCCCGTGGGGCTGTGGCGGGGCGGTGCAGCCCGTGGGCGCGGACCCCGGGCGAGCTCCGGAAGACGCCGGGTAGAGGGTGGAGTGACCCGCCCTCCCCGCCGCCCGCCGGGAAGCCGGCGCCCGCGAGCCCACGCGTCTGAGGGCGTGACGGCGGCTGCGGGAGGGCGAGGGGCTGCCGGAGCGGGAGAACGAGATGGGGGGCCTCAGAGGCCCGCGCCCGCCCGCCCTGTTGTGGCCTTAGCGGAGGAGAGAGTGATGAGGCTGTGGGAGGAGAGGGCGGAGGAGGCATGGAGGCCCCGCTGACTGGGCGGAGGGCTGTGGAGACACACCAGAGGATGCGTGGGCGCAGGGGTGACGGAGGCCCTGGGGGCGGATGGATCATGGGGGCTGGTTTGCCCTGCCTGGATTTGTCCACACAGGGCGGTGGGCGAGCCAGTGTGAGACCTCGCTGAGCGGTTCTCTTACATATCGGTTTCCATTTTTCAACCTTGGCCATGTGGGCTCAAAAAATATTCACAACCCAAAAGTTGAGAGTTGTGTTTTATTCAGTGGAAGTTTTTACAATTTCAAGCCCAGAAGACTGAATCTCAAATGACCCTGAGAGAACTGCTCCAAGGAGGCAAGAGAAGGGAGCCAGGTTACATGGAAGTTTTACAACAATGGGCAGGTGGTCTGAACATCACAAGATTATTGTAAACTAAAGAAAACCAGATACCCGGAGTTAAGGAATGTAGTGCCTTTCTGTATTGGGGAAGATACAAGAGTCTGGGCTCACTGAACTCATATGTATGTTACACACCTCACCTGTCTGGGGCCAGTGTCCTGTGTTCACAGCCTGAGTTTCCTCAGGGCTCTCTGTGGGGAGTGGCTGCAGTCCAATGGCTGCTACATGCAGGTCTTCTTTCCTCCTTGAGTTCTCCCAGGCTGACCAGCTCACTGTCCACGGTGGCTGCAATCTCTGATGATCCTGACAACCTTTGTTTACTGATAATCCATTGCAGGAACCATCCCATTTCTCAGCAGTTAAAAGAAAATGATTTCATGTGTTGTGAAACATGAAGACCACTTCTAGTAAAATATTTGCAGAATGGGGACTGGCTCAGGCTTCCCCAGTGGCTCAGCAGTAAAAAAAATCTGCCTGCAATACAAGAGATATGAGTTCAGTCCCTGGGTTGGGAAGATCCCCTGGAGGAGGTAATGGCTACCCACTCCAGTACTCTTGCCTGGAGAATCCCACGGACAGAGGAGCCTGGTGGGCTACAGTCCATAGGGTTGCAAAGAGTCGGATAGACTGAAGTGACTAAGCACAGACTGGCTCAGAAACTAGAGTGAAGAACTCCGGTTGTAGGGCCAAAAAAAAAAAGAAGGGGGAGTGTTAGAGACTGGCTGCATGAGCCTACAGCTTCTCATATGTCCTCAGAGCAAGTGGTAGCATTCCCATGAGTGGTTGGGGTTGCCTCTCTGAAAAGAGACTCTAGAATTTATGTTGTTTTGATGAACTTGCCCCAATCTAGGTTACTGCTGGTCGACCCTGTTCAGCTGGTAGGGACTGACTGCTTGGAGAGGCTGAACCAGGAGGCTTTTCACTTTCTCTCTCAACATTTCTGTCTGTGTATTCACCCATTAAACATTAAATCTCCAGTACTAGTATGGTAGATGGTTTCAGTATTACGTTGTCATATGAGAGTTTTTACCATGAAGTACATTTAGCTTGGGAAAGACCACTTGTAACTGAATGATGTTACATAAAGGAACAGGGCCTAGACTGTAAGTTGCTGTGAAGGTCCTATTTTTGTTATTGTGATTTTATTGTATTTTTAAAGCTTGAACATATATTCTTGCAACTTCCCTGGTGGTCCATTGATTGAGAATCCACTTTGCAATGGAAGGGACATGAGTTCAATCCCTGGTCAAGGAACTAAGATCCCACAAGCCATGGAGCAGCTAAGTCCATGTACTACAGAGTCTGCATGAGGCAATGGAGATGATGGAGCCAAATAAATAAAATATTTTTAATTAAAAAAATTTGAAAAGAAAGTATATTCTTACATTGTTATTAAGCATTAAAGTTGCTTCCCAGAATTTGGGACCCAAGAAAGAGACTTGAGGCCAGAGTTCTATAAGAAAGAAGGCACTACTTAGCTGCAGATGTGGAAGCAAGAACTGAGCCTTCACACCACAACTGGAGAATCCATGTGCCACAACAACTGAGTCCATGCAGTACACAATTAGAGAATCCATGCATCACAACTAGTGCACTGTCACAACACAAATAGAGAATCCATGCAGCACAACTATTGAATCCTCACACCACAACTAGAGAATCCATGCACCACAACTAGTGCATCCTCACACCACAACTAGAAAATTCAATCACCACAACTACTGAGCCCTCACACCATAACTAGAGAATCCATGAACCACAACTTCTAGGTCCTCAGACCACAACCTAGAATACATGCACCACAGCTGTTGAGTCCTCAAACCACAACTAGAGAATCCATGCATCTCAACTACTGAGCCCGCACACCACAACTAAAGAATCCATGCACCACAGTGAAATATCCCACATGACAACCATGATCCTGCATGCCACAACTAAGACCTGATGCAACCAAATAAATACTAAAAAAAAAAACAAGTGATTCAAACTACAAGGGCAAGACTCTATTAGCACATACTGTTTTTCCTCCTAATAAACACTTCACTCGTTTCACTACTTTCCGTCTCATGGAAATTCATTTCTACACAGCTGACATGTCAGGGTCTCATCTCTGGCCACTGTCACTGGTGGTCTAGTAGCCAGGATTCAGCACTCTCACTGCTACAGACTGACTTCAGTCTCTGGCCAGGAAACCAAAATTCTGCTTCAAGCTGCAGCAGGCCAAAATCACCTGAGGTCAGGCCCAGTGCCCAAATGCCTAGGTCAGCCAGGTAGGCAATGCCAGTGGGCAGTGGATGACCAAAAGCCAAGAACTCCCCAGGAAGGGCTGAAGGACCACAGCCCTGGGTGAGGGTAAAGTTCTCTTGTTTCTTTCACTCCTCCTGACCACATGACACCGATGTTAGACGATTATGGCAGAGCATGAACTGGGGTGGGCGGGGTTGGGGGGAATTTGTGCTGAGGCAGGAGCACTTTTCTTTCCTAGATAAGCCTGCTCAGAAGGTCCATGCTGGAGCCAAGGGGAAACATCCCGTCCCAGCTCCTCTCTCAACTTCTCCTCTCTGCTTCTTCACTGCTGTTACCCCAGCACCCCACACAGTCTCACTGCTGCAAAGAAGACCTTGGATGCCCAAGCCTGGAGGGTGGAAAGGAAAATACCCTTGACCTGGTTAGGGACAGAAGGTTCCTTCTGCATGATGTAACTCACAATTTCCTTTTGGGAAGGAACTCACTTTACAGATAAAAGCGGTTTCTGCTAAATTTATAGTAGAGTTCAAACTTGGCCTCAGAAATTAGTTATCCACCCACAGAGAGACGGTCGGCTGACAGAGGTCAGGTACTTAGTGATCTTTAACTGGGCATTCTTTTCTACTTGTATTCACACTAACAATGGTGATCTAACCACTTCCATTTCTAATGCCTGGAAAGATCTCTACCAAGATAAGTCTTCATGTGGCACCCCTTTGGCTTTCATAAATTTGAAAACAAAACTTCAGACTTTGGGAAGAACACACATTCATAACCAAATTCATGGGAAAAGCTTTTTTTCTAGCAAAGAGGAGGAAATGCAGGTTGTGACCGTGCTGCTGTGGACCAGCCCTGTGCAGGCACTGCTCTGTCCCTGGCTGCCACAGGCTTTCCTGTCTCTGTGAAAGTGGCCCCAGACCCACCCCTTTCTGTCCCATGTCTTGGCCCAGCAGGTCTGAGAGCTGTCCTCTGGGTCTAACAGACTCTTCCCTTGAACAAACTTTAATCAACATCCTCTGTTGTTTTTCAGTTGCCAAGTCGCATCTGACTTCTGCGACTCTAATACGTTGGCCACCTGATGTGAAGAGCTAACTCTTTGAAAAAGACCCTGATGCTGGCAAAGATTAAGGACAGGAGAAGGGAGCAACAGAAGATGAGATGGTTGGATGGCATCATCAACTCAATGGACGTGAGTTTGAGTAAACCCTGGGAGATAGTGAAGGACAAGAAAGTGCTTCAGTCCATGGGTCGCAAAGAGTCGGACAAGACTTAGCAACTGAACAATAACAATGTACTATAGCCCACCAGGCTCCTTCTGTCCGTGGAATTTTCCAGGAAAGAATACTGGAGTGGGTTGCCATTTCCTTCTCCAATGGATCTTCCTGACCCAGGGATCAAACCCATGTCTCCTGCATTGATAGGTGGATTCTTTACCACTATGCTACTAGGGAAGCCCCAATGTTCTCTGAGCCGTCTTTAATGCTGTGGCCTCATCCTCAGGTCCCATCCTTCAACCTGCCTAACGCAACTGAAGCAAATATCAACCAAAAAACTTAGAAAGGCTGCAAATAAGAAAAAAAAATTTTATTTGGAATCTTAAGAATTACAATTCAGGAGATATATTCAGGTATTAATAAAACCAAGAGTGTTCCAGGGGCTTATACAGGCAAGGCCACAGGTGGCTAAAGTTGCTTGGTGAGGGTGTTGATGGATACTGATAGAAGTCATGGAACATTTGTCCTTAAAGGAATCACAATTTGTTTTCGGGTAAGGTCTGATAAGTAGATAGACTGTCAGGAGCTATTTTACGAGTTATTTTAGTGTAAGTTTCAGGTAAGTATCTTGAGTTCCTGGCCGGTGTTCTGGGTGGCTTCCTTTAGGAAAATAAGTGCTCAGGTCAGATTCACCCAGGCTGAGACACATATGTCACACTTCCTCAGAGGCCTCCCCGCTCTGTATTAGAGTCTCTGAGCAATACCCACTTTTTTTAATTCATTTTTTAATTAAGGATAATTGCTTTACAGAATTTCGCTGTTTTCTGTCAAACCTCAACATGAATCAGCCATAGGTATACAAAAGGGATGGGATAGATGCATACCAACTCTATTGATCTTCAGAGTTGAGCTGGTCTCTCTCCCTGATTGCAACAGACCTGAATAGTCTTCCTTACATTTCAACAAGCGTCAGAATCTTTTCTTCCATGGGCCCTCTGACATGAGGGGCCGCCTGTAACCTTTCCTGGGAGTGCAGGCCCGTCCTCTGAGGAGGGGCCCTGGGGGCGGCACCCACTCTTGTCGGGCTTGCTGGTGAGTTACCCCAGCAGGGGCCGCCCCAGTGGCTGCTGACACTTCAGGGGTGGGGAGGGCGGTTCCCAACTG